CACCCACACCCACACCCCACCCAGTTCTTTACATTAATTTTATTTGATTTCACCTTATTTTTAAAAGTAGTGATCTTTCTTTGTTTTGCTTATAAATTACTTCATAGTTATTGATCCTTGTTTTTGTTTGCAAGGAATATGGAAATCGCAAAATGAGAATTCATATTTACAACAATAATATTATTTTTTTCGATAAAAAAATACATCAAAGTTTCAGGAAACGTCTTGAATTCTGTTCAATATTTCCAAACAATCTATTAAGTATTATATTGAAAAAAGAATCGAGTGCTTTGTCGAATAGTGGTTCGCAAACTGTTCGCATTTGTCATCTTCGTCATTTTTCATACATCTCTATTTCTAGATTTTACTGATATTTATTCGGTCTGTATGATTAGTTATAGTAAATCTTCTTTTAACTATCAAAAACTTAAAAGGCATCAAATGGTAAAAGTTGTATTCTTAACAGAAATGTCTCTATACTCCTAATGTCGAGCTTTCATAAGGGTATTTAAGTTTTATTTAGTTCAATATAGCAATGGTAAATTTAGTATCGAATATCCTTCTTTTGTTCGCGACATCGATTATCATTTTATACTGATTAAATAACTTTATGACTTCTCCTCTCACATATGGCTCAAACAAAACTTTCAAAGACACCAAAGTCCCTCTTAAACACAAGATGCAGATTCCTTATTGAATGCCATCTAAAAATGTTGGCTAGCACATTTATGTAACAAAATCTATCGGCTACTTTAAGAGATTTGATAACTTTTTACAGAAACTAAAAGAAGTTCTTTTTTTGCGACAACAACTGCTCGATTTAGCTTCCTCGTTAAAAATGCATATTTGCATAACTGATCATCTAACTTTCGAAAAAATCTCAAATATGTTCAACTTAAGTTAAATTGTTACCATTGCAGATGTACCTCAGTCTTATAATTAAGCTTATATATGACAAATTTTTCATATTCTATTTTCTTCTTTTTATAAAATGCTACAATGTATTCTTCAGCAGCAATCGATGAAACAGATTGCACAACAATAGTAGCAAATCACACAGCAACAGGAGCAGATTGCATAGGAACAACAAGAGATTATAGTACAACAACAACAAGAACAGATTGCACTGAAACAGCAACAAATTACACAGCAACAGGAACATGTTATGAAACAACAACAACAAATTTCACTACAACAGGAACAAATTAGACAACAACAACAGAAAAATGCGCAGCATCAACAACAACTTATGCAGCAACAAATTGCAGAACAGCAATAAGAAATTGCACAAATGTAACAACGACAAATGACCAAAATATTCGATATTATTGGTTATATACTTAAAGAAATGATTGATTAAATACAAAAAACAATTTAAACTGTGTATATCTGAATCTAAATGTCCGTCTTTTTTTTCACTTTCACTATTATCTCTTAGTATTTTGGAATCGATTTTGGTTTGTTGAGTGTAAATATACATAGGAAAAATATGAAAAATGAACTGAAAATAAGTTTCTAAAATTTTTACAAGAAGTCAAATGGTTTGGTCATCTAGATGCAAGAGTTGATGAATGGTAATGATCATTCAACTGTGTAATGATATGATTTTTTTCTAATGAAAATTCTCGCTAATATGCATTAATTAAAACATATAACAGTAATTTCATTTCAGCATTCAATAAGAAGTGGTTTTTAGAAAACTGGCTTTTCAGATAATCTTATGTAAGGTCTTCAAAAGTCTTTTTGTTAATACACTGAAAATCAACATATTTATAATTATTGTCAAAATGATTTTCGAATAAGAATCAAATATGATAAAGCTCATTGTGCTCTCTGAGAAACACATTCTCGAGTAGCTATGAGTTTTGAAAAGCATTTTATAACAAAATAGCGAATGCGAAAACGTAACAAATCGATGTTTTGTTTTATTGCAGTGCTTTAACAACAACTTCATGCCTGTTCATCAAAATCTGCTTGCTGTTAGGCAAATTCTATGCGCATGCCACATTTAGTGCTGCTACTCGAAATTCATAAAATAGTTTTTCATGTTATATTGAGTCTTTGTATAGTACCTCTTCGCTTAGCATTAACTTAGAAATGAGGCAATCTGTCTTTTTATTTATCATTTTTAGAGCTAACTACAGTCCAAATTGTTCGAGTTCTGAAAGAGTTCGAAAAATAAAATATCCGGCAACCATTGATGTTGTCGTCATTCTTATAGGACTTCGAAATTGTACTGAATTCTATACATGATTGCCACTAATATGAGCAAAATCCAGTACTCCTATTTTCATTTTACCATATATTCAAATTCTCTTTTATTCTCTTCAGAAAATTTGTCAAAGATTATTTCATCAAATTTCATAATACCACGAGAAAACTAGAAAAATTTAGTAATTCGTAATAAAAAGTATTCGTTCAGACGTCAACTATTAAAATCTGGAATAATTTGTCGCCTAAAAACAATATGAAATTGCTCAAAATATTCAAAAAACCTTGTTGAAAATAGTGGAAAACTAAATATTACTTCACAGCTAACAATCTCATAACTTTGACAAATTGTTTTTTCAACTCTCTTAAGATTTTGGAATTTCGTGGCTACATACATTATTAAAATAGCAATAAAAAAGAGGGTGTGGGTATCATAGATGTGCCGGGCATCGAATTTTGATGCTCCGCAGGTCCCGTCCCGTGGAATTTTCTAACCCATCTTGCCGATTCTCATAGATTATTTTGCTGAATACCTCCGCACCCGTCCAGCCTGCACCCGTATTTGTGAGCTTTCTGTACGCCCCCGTACCGCTCCGTCGATTTTTCCACGGGCCTCGCCCCGCCCCCGCGAACCCGTGAAAATTTTTATTCGTTATTTAATTTACTTTCAGTGATTTGTTTCACTAGAGGAAGAGTAAATCAATGCCCATATGGAGACGGTTTTGCAGGATTCACTTTTTAATTTTCAAAAAGCGTGTATTTTTTCGGTTGTTCTTTCAAAAAATATCTTGATATTTAAAGTATTATATTTGATAGCACTTGAGGGTGTGGGCGTGGGTGCGAGTGCATCTGAAGAAAAAAGAACAACACCGACACCCAAATTCACATACACCCACACCTCACTCACACCCACACCCACACCCACACATCCACACCCACACCCACACCCACCAACACCCACCAACACCCACCCCCACGCCCAAAGTGATCTTTTAAACTATTTGATAAGACTCTTAAGCAAAGTCGAAACTGATTATGGTAATTTATCATACCCTCAAGAGACCTAGTCGTCAGCTGGGTCAAAATCGCGATCATGGCAACTCATACTCACCCTCAAGATCGCCCTATCTTCGATTGATATAATTGCATGTGTATAGTTGTCTCTCAGCTAATGGTGTGATCGTAGTGCGCTTGTCTTTCTTCAAACAATCATTGTGACGATGACTCACTGGTTCCCTTGGACGAGAACTTACACCGACATCATCCGCTAACAAGATGCTAAAAGTTGTATCTTCATTTGTGAGTATTTATTTCTATAAGAATAGTCAAGAAAATTATTAATTAAATGGCACAAGGACAGTCTGATTTTGTGAAAGGACATAAACAGATTTTAGTAAAATTCTAAATTCACTACTTCAATGTTACTGTATAAGTAGAGTACAATTTCCGTGTCAGTTTCAAACAGCTAAGAGAACACCGACGTTGTTCGAACCCGCGTTTGCGACAATAATATCGAGTTTACTATCTCCATTGACATCGGCTGCTGCCACCGCATGTGGGCTAGTGCCAGTTGAATAAGTCACTTGAGCAGCAAACGTGCTATTGCCATTGTTGAGGAGAATACCGACATTGTTTGAACCGAAGTTTCCGACAATAATATCGAGTTTGCTGTCTTCATTGACATCGGCTGCTACCATCGAGTACGGATTAGTGCTAGTTGAATAGGTCACTTGAGCAGCAAACGTGCCATTACCATTGTTGAGAAGAACACCGACGTTGTTCGAACCCACCTTTGCGACAATAATATCGAGTTTACTATCTCCATTGACATCAGCTACTGCCACAGACACCGGCTGAGTACCAGTTGAATAGGTCACTTGAGCAGCAAACGCACCGTTGCCATTGTTGAGGAGAACACCGACGTTGTTCGAACCCGCGTTTGCGACAATAATATCGAGTTTGCTGTCTCCATTGACATCAGCTGCTGCCACCGACATCGGGTGAGTACCAGTTGAATAGGTCACTTGAGCAGCAAACGCGCCATTGCCATTGTTGAGGAGAACACCGACGTTGTTTGAACTGTAGTTTTCGACAATAATATCGGGTTTGTTGTCTCCGTTGACATCGGCTACTGCCACCGCATGTGGGATAGTGCCAGTTGAATAAGTCACTTGAGCAGCAAATGTGCCATTGCCATTGTTGAGGAGAACACCGACGTTGTTTGAACCGTAGTTTGCGACAATAATATCAAGTTTGCTGTCCCCATTGACATCGGCTGCTACCAAAAAATGCGGGTTAGAGCCACTTGAATAGGTCACTTGAGCAGCAAACGCGCCACTGCCATTGTTGAGGAGAACACCGATGTTGTTTGAGCCGAAGTTTGCGACAATAATATCGAGTTTGCTGTCTCCATTGACGTCAGCTGCTGCCACCCAATGCGGGTTAGAGTCACTTGAATAGGTCACTTGAGCAGCAAAAGTTCTATTGCATGGAGCTATTACGAAACAAAAATTGTTATTAGCACTAATATAATTATGAAAAACAATTGCCTTATCCCTGAGCATTGTTTACTTTCAAAAAGGTTACTCCAGCTCTTACAGAGACAACGTGAGCAAACAGAATAATGCCCACAATTTTGAAATATTTTCTTTTGTCTCTCGCGAAGCTAAATACTTTTTCTTGTAGTCTATACAGTTCCCATGAGAAAACTACCACTCTACAATCTTGACTAATTCGCAGCAGGCTCTGTGTCCGATTAATGCATTCTTATCATCGTTTAATCTTCCTCTGGTTTCACCATGCTGCTTTCAATCTTTTACCATTCGAACTAAACTGAATCTTATTTTAGATTCGATCAGATTAGCAAACGATATAAGCCCCTAATCGGCACAATTCACAAGATTTTTCTTGGGCACAATTAGTAGAATAGTTGACAACATGCTCTGGATAAATCATAATCAGAAAACTCTGTTGAAAAGAAGTTTAGTTGGATGATACGTACATTTACATAAAAGATGATTGATGGTGTACTTCATTCAATAGTTCGTACGTCAATGAATCCCTGCGAGAATGACGCAATCAAATGATATTAGCCTCAAAACAACTGTTCTTCTTTGCACCCACCTACAATCGCTCACTCGCTCATTCGTTATCTGCACCAAACAATAACTGTATTACCCGTGAGTTCATCCAAATAAACATTGAATGGTTTGTTTGTCCTTGTCATAGTCCGAAAACAATAAATTCCTTATTCTGTCTTTTTTTAAAAATCTATAGTGGCCAGTCTGCTGCCTCACAAAAACTAGGTAAGAATGAAGAAATCAATGAAGAAAGAAATGAAGAGAAGAAGAAAATCGACAGCTTCTTCTGTAGCCAAACTGTCGAACATCTTGAGTGAATATCAGCTTCAGTTTCTGAAGAGTTATTCATCAATCTTCCAAGGGCGAAGCCGCTGATTTAAGGGGATCCCCTCTTTCCCGACTCAAAATTTTCACATTTTTCGTTTTTCATTTTTGTGATTAGTATATAGATTTAAATGCCCTCTGTCCATTGAGCACACGTTGAGAACTGAAAACCCACATCTTATATATAAAAAAAACTCGTAAAAAATCACAAAATATGCTGAAAAAACCAAAAAACACAAATTTCTTTGCGTTTTTCTCAAAATCAGTTATTTCAGCAAAAACAATGAAGTTTTCCCCCTTTTCTTCCCTCGCACTTCAACCAATCGAGGCCAAATTTTAACTGTGAATACTTTGAACAAATTGGGGTGTGTCTCTTTTTTCTCTCGAAAATATTCTTCCTATGGAATTTCATTAGGTACCACAAAATTGGCACTATAAGAAGAAAACGAAAAAAAACGCATTTTTTGATAGTGCCGTCAGTAATTTGGTTCTCCTGACCCTCAGGAACGATATTTTCCAAAGAAAAAAAAGACACGCCCCAATTTGTTCCTAGTTTCTGCAGAAAAAATTTGAGCCGTAAACAATGAAGTATAA